AGAGACCATGTCTCAAAGACCAAAAAAAAAAAAAAAAAAAAAAAAAAAAAAAAAATCAACAAATGCTAACAAGGATGCAAATGTAAAATGACCCCTTCTACATGGCTAGTTAATTGGTACAGCCACTATGGAAATTAGTATGAAGGGTCCACAGAAAACAGAAATAGAGCTACTGTACCTTTTGATCAGCTATATCACTTCTTGGTATACACCTGAAGGAATTAAAGTCAGCATATTATTGGGACATTCTGTTTGCAAAAGGAAGCAGCCTGAGTGTCTAGCAACAGATGAATGGGTAAAGAAAATGGATATATATACACACAATGGAATATTACTTAGGCATAGAGACAAATCATGTTGTGTGCAATAAGCCAGAGTCAGACAAATACCACATATTCTCCCCAATATGTTGAATTTAAAAACAAACAAACTCTGCACCGATTATTAGACAAGAGAAAGATAGGGAGTGGTTGAAGGTATAATGGTGAGTATAAGGGATAATATGAGTAAAATATATGCATTGAAATACATGCCTCCACATGAAACTAGGGCAAGGGGATAATTGAGGGGGTGGTTATCAAAGTATATGCATTTACCGACCTAACCAATAAGAGTGAAAAATAAATTGGAATTAAAAATCTATGTGTTTGAAGGATAGAAAAGACAAGATAAAATTTTTGCAAATCATATATCTGACAGGGATTTTGTATCCAGAATACATGTAAAGAATCTGTGTATACCAATGATAAAGACATAAATGACCTTTTCACTTTTTTCTTTGAAGATCTACAATTGGTTGGTAACTATGAATTATCCCATAAACGCAACAGAAGTTCTAGTGATATCTCCATACTCACTCAACCTGGATGGCTTTGATCTAGAAGGCAGAGAGCAAGCTTTGGTAGTAGAGACCTTGGTAACCTGCTTTCTCAGTGTTCATTCAGATACTCTGAAATATAGCTTAGCATTTCCCCCTAAAATTACCATTATGACCTAGCAGTTCCACTGAGAGAAATGAACACCTATCCACACAGAAATATATACAGTAGTGTACCACCCATGAAGAGGCACTCCAAGAATCTCTTAACATTGGGTAGGACTATAAACTTTGTGCTATACATACATACATACATACATACATACATACATACATACATATCCACCCATGAAAAAGTTTGTTTTAGGACAGTAAGTGATTGATGGAATAATTAAGAATGTGCTGTAATAGTTACTTAAAACTTAAGATTACTTCTGTAATTTTTCATTTAATATATCTGGACTTTGGGTAGTTAAAGTGAAACTTTAAAGATTGAAAACTGTAGATAAGGGTGAATAACTACATGGATGTTCATAGTACTGTTACTTATAATAATCAAAGAGTGGAAAAACCCAAGTAAACCCTCAACTGCTGAATGAGTTAATACCCACACAATGTATTGTTCAACTTCACAAAAGCAACAAAATAGTGGCAAATAGGGATAAATGTTGAAAAAGATCAGATTTAGGAATACAGGGAAATCCCTTTTAATCCTCTGTATTAAAAGGTGATGCTGGATCTGTACACTTAAAACAAAATTTTGTCTGCTTAATGTAGACCATATCGTATACATAATCTGCTATCATTTCATTATGTTTTGAACATTTCCCCTGCTATGAATACAGCTGTTCTTACAACAGTCTGTTGTTAGGCACTTAGGATGCTGCCAACTCTTAACGCTCTCAGTTCCTCACCTACACACAAATCTTAAATGTCTGAATTTGTAGCCGCTTCATAAGGAAAACTTTACAAGGAAGAAAATGACAAGTCTATCCAGCCATGTAGTCTCAGAATATTTGGGGCTTTTAATACCTACACTTTTTTGTTAACCTAAGATGATAAATAAACAAGGTAGTACAGTGGTTTTATTGCCCTTTACCAAGTAAAAAATACACATTACAGAAGCAGCAGCAAATTTTAATTACAAGCAACTGTTAACTCTACTCCCACATCACTTTTTTCCCCAGCATGACTTACTTTGGTATCAGCAAGTCATTTAAATGTAATAATCTTCAAATAGGCTGAATACTTTAAGCGCGCTGGTTAAATTATGGCTTAAACAATTTCTATGTTATCTGAACCAAATGAGATAGCAAAATAAAGTGAGGTTTTAAAAACTAAAGTATATAACAAATTATCAGGAAAATTTTCTATAACCTTGGCCAAACTTCTTGCTTGGTAGACATCCTATTTATGTTAACTGAAAAGTGAGTATCTTACAGAACAGTTTCACAGCCTAAATTACAGAAGTAATGTGAACTTATTGGTGTCCTGCTTTCAAGAATGTGAGATAAACCAGTGTTTTATTTACGATATTTGAAAAGATCACAACTGTGTATAAATGGTAAATCGTTTTTATTGACTGAATGAATATTCACATGAAACAACTGTAATACTGTTTCTTCTCCCCCCTACTGGATTAGTCACAGGAGAAGAAATTGCAGTTTAGTTTCTTCGTACACTGCATTATTTTTTTAGCTTAAAATTTAGAGGAAGGTGGTTTGAACCAAAAATTTAAATAAGGAGCACCAGAAAAATGAGGTACCAGTAGTCACATATTCTACTCATTGAGGAGTTTTATTATGTGAAGTTATTGCACTTGTAATGTAAAAAGTAAATGATAGTAAATTACAAACTCAGTTATTTTTAATAGTTGATAAATTTTGAAATAAGCAATTTCAAAGTGATTGAGTTTCCCATCAAAGGAAATCTAGAAGAGACAACTAAATCTACCTATGTACTTTAAAAAGCAAGGATAGAGGACCAGGTTTTATTTCTAAACTGTAACTGCACTATGAAAAAAGAGCCTGTTTCACATAGTGGTATGAATTTGGTCCACATCTAATACACTGTTATAAAAATAAACACATTTTTATAAAAAATTACATTGCATTCCTTGTTCAAATTGCACAGTACAAACAAGCTATCTAAATTAATACTGTTATTAGGTAATCAGAATTACATACAGTGAATATGTGTTTAGTCTAAAGCAATTAAGGAATATGTGGTACTGTTTTCATAATGTATGAAAACTAAAATTTAAGTCATATCTAGAAATTCATAAAATATTTTTAAAGTTTACAATGAATGCATTCTTTACATACTTATTTTTTAGTAGCTGTGATAATACAGGATTCAGGTATGTACATAAAAGTCCTTTTTATTTAATTTACAAAAGCAATAAATAAGATTAATTTGAACAAAACCTGTTTCATTTCATGATCATTGGGACCGTTTCCATTACTTTATGACCAAGCCACTAAATCTGTCTTCCATTATGTAGGCTGCTCATTTCTGGAAGGAAATGGAAGCCCTTCCTTTATTCTAAGAGTATGTATCTATACTCATGCAGAATCCAGCATAAAATCTAACAAATTATAATACAAGCCTTAAAAATATGCACAGCGCCTTTGAGTATATTTACACAAGAGCATTTACAAAAAGGTACACTTATTTAATACAAAATAGTTTAGTGGTATCAGCATATTTGATAACCTTTCATACCACTGCCTACGTTGATCTAGTAGGAATCAAGCTTGCTAAAACAGGCACATTAACTGACAAATTAATAAGCTTTCATCAATTCAGGTGTGAGACTAAAGAAGCTAGTAAAGCCAAAGAGAATGTCTCCATTGCATTACTGTGAGTGCAAGGATAGGCATCTATTCAGAGAACTAATTAGGGAGTTCAGTGAGCTCTGTCCAAGGAAGCAAACAGGTAGCTCAAGTGCTCAGTGAGCTACAGTGAGCACCTTAGCATTTATTTTTTAAAAAGTCTAATGCTGGGCATGGTGATGCACACCTGTAATCCCAACACTTGGGAGGCTCCAACAGGAGGATCGTTACAAGTCCAAGACCAGCCTGGTCTATGAAGTGAGCTCAAGGCCAGCCTGAACTGCATAAGGAGACCCTGTCTCAAAAACAAAACAAAACAAAACAAAACAAAACAATGTGGGGCATGGTGGTGTATCTATAATCCCTGCACTCAGGAAACTGAGGCAGGAGGATTGTTGTGAGTTTGAGACCAGCCTGGGCTACAAAATGAGCTCAAGGCCAGTCTAAACTGCATAGAGACCATGTCTCAAAGACAAAAAAAAAAAAAAAAAAAAAAAAGTCTAGACACTTGCTGAGCCATAAAACATACAAAACTAAGTTATGAAAAAGTAAGCTCACCCAGGACAAAATTATCAATATGGTTTACAAGCTACCAACTTTAACAAAAATGCACACCTGTACAATAGCCTTTATTTCCACTGCAGCTTTAAAAAAAGTTGTTTTATGAAAGATGTTTGATTTGTTAGCACATTTTTGGAGTCCAAGAGATCTTTTTTAAAATGTGGTAATACTTTACCCAAGAGTCTGAGTTGAGTTCTCTCCCCTTTTAATCATTCAACTAGGTTACAGTGTACTCAGTTGCACATTGCTGCTAATTAATACTGCCTGCTGTGATGTTACTTACTATTGTTAGGACACGGAACAGTCGTAAGTCCCATCCTGAAATGATTCCTCCTCTTCTGTCTGGGCTATGTCTTCTTCTTTCCGGGTAGCTATACTGCTACCCCCAGTCTCACTTTGGGGGATACCTCCATGGCCAGAGGAGCCCCTGCTCTCCTCTGCCCTAGGGCTAGTCTGTTCAGGAGTCTTACCCACTGCTACTGGTTGGAAGGCATCGGGCTGGACTTGTTCTTCTGTTATCTCGCTGAGTTTCTTCAGTTGTGGTTTAATGATGTTTAAAAATGGCTTATATCCAGGGCTAAGTAGAGGGGAGAAAATTAGTTCTTGTGTTATAATTCAAAAGACCTAACCAAATGTTATGGATACACTTCTAGTAAGCACTAGTGCAGTGCAGGAAGTAACATTACAAAAGGAGGGAAGGCTTCTTAGGTGCTCTGCTCAGCACAGAAGGAACTGTACATAGCATAGGCTCAAATTAAATATTTGAGCTGAAGAGGAAGGTTTGATTTTTAAAATTCATTCATTCATTCATTCATTCATTCATTCATTCATTCATTTGGTACAGGGTCTCGCTATGCAGCTCAGACTCATAGTACCTACATTGGCATGCAGTATCAGGGATCTAACCTGGGTCCTTGTGCTTGCCAGGCAGGTGCTTAGACTGCCTAGCTATCTCCCCAGCCCAGGTTTGATATTTTAAAACAAGTGTTATAATTGAAAATGAAACCTCTGGCAATTAAGGAAAACTATGTAAGGGAGACAAATAGCTCTAAATCTATACTGATGGTCATGACAAGGCCAGAGTTCAAGGCTCTGAACCTCCAGCCATTACTTTTAATTTGAACATGCTACTAACTGCCACCAACTGTTAAAATTCAGACTATAACTTTTACTTTTGCAAGCATTTTTGATATAACCTTCAGTTCTATAGAACTACAAATTAAGTTGCACTTATTTGAAGATCATTTATACTGCATCAGCTTAAGCCAGTGACGTAAATTTACATTATAAACTGATCACCCCTATAAACTTTACTCAATGGACATTACTCATTCATATGGTTGGGAACAAAATAATTACTTAAGAAAGAAACCTTGAGAGGGAAAATATGAGGCATCTGGTGGCACATACTTGTAATCTCAGGATGTAGCTCAGTGGAGAACGCTTATGTAGCAAGTGTGAGGTCTTGGGTTCAATTCTCAATATCAAAAGTGTATATATGAATGTGAAACTTTTTATTTCTACTAACCTAAGTAAATACATTTTTATTTCTACTAACCCAAAATAAATAAATTGTAAGCCTTAATGTGAAAGGATGGGACTCAAACGGGCAACGAACTTCGAGGAACCAGCACTTACCAATCTACAGAGGCCCATCTGTCCACTGCATGTAGTCCTGTCTTTATGTTCTGTAACATCTCTCCATCTACCTCTGAAGACTGCGCAATAACCAAAATCTGATTGATTATTGAAGATTCTCTAAGAATCAGGCCTATGACGATGCACCAGTCCAGACACCCTGCCTCCATGAAAACGTGTAGCAAATACCTATATAAAAAATAAAATAATTTAGGCAAAAAGTACCTATGATGACTATTAGCAAGGTGGCTCCTATATACCCGTTTTGCACAAAAGTCAAGTAGCTTTCTGTGCTTTGGAACATGAGAAACTCACCGAAGCTGGACTTGGGATTTGTGAGGTCCTTTACTTGCCAATTCCATGGAGATGTGCTCCAACTCTGACTGAGTCAAACTGAGTGTAGAGAAATTTTCATCTACCATGGTCCAGTCTCCATCTACCACGGAGCTACTTTCAGTCAGGTCTGTGGCTGAACCAATGCTGCATTCATCACCTGATGAAGAATTTCTAGAAGTTATAAACTAACTTCTTGTAGAAAATACATTTTCTTTTAGTTTTATTAGCTATTCCTCAGATGTTAATTTCTCTTCAGAATTTTGAAATCTGAACATTAATTCTGCTAAAATGGCCATCTTATATGAATAGTACTTTTTAAAAAATCAGTAGAGCCATAAATACACATTACATACCTTGGGACAGAAAAACGTATTACCACCAATTAACAGTCTTCCTTATCTTCCTCCCAAAGTCTAGCAACAATTTGACCAAGTTTTTAGATTTAGTGACCACATTCCAGGAAAGCATAAACTGTTTAACTAAATCTTGAGGATGTAATCAGCAAAATCCACATTTTGAATAAATGCACAGAATCAATTTTTATCAATAAATTGCAAAGGGAAAAAGTTATGGGGGTAGCAGGCAGTCATTAAAAAAAGGAAATTTAAAAAATATACAATGTGGAAAAAAGTATGACATGAAACAACGGGAAATCTATTAGACAGTTGATAGTATATTAAGGAATCAGATTTTTGGAAGGATGATAAAGGTATGTTTTTATTTTAGAAGTCTTTGAGGGCTGTAAATTATATGTGTTTCAATTAAGACAGGAGAAGATGAGACAGCTCAGCGGACTAAGCGCTTGCTCAGGCAAGTGCAGGGACTGGGGTTCGACCCTGGCACCACATGCTGTGCCAGCTCTGCCCACAGGTGTACTGTGCAAGCTGTGAGACCAGGCATGGTGGCGTGCTCCTGTAATCCCAGTGCGGAGGAGGCTGAAAACAGGAGGACTGCTGTGAGTCTGAGTTGTATAGTGAGACCCTGTACCTAATACATTAAAAAAAAAAAACAAACAGGAAAAATGGGGCTGGGGAGGTGGCGTAAGTGCATGCCTGGCAAGTGCAAGGTCCCAAGTTCAGTCCCCAGTACTCATACCATGTGGGCCCCAAAACCAGGCATGGTGGCGCACACCTGTAATCCCAGCTCTGGGAGGCTGAGACAGGAGGATCACTGTGAGTCTGAATTGCATAGTAAGACCCTGCATCAAAAACCCCCAGGACTATAATGCTGAGCTGCATGGTATTTTATAATAAACATACCAAAGTATAATGAAGGCTATTCTGTTGTAACTGTATCCTAGTGGATACAGCTAATCCTTAAGGATGCTGAAAGATGTCTGAAACATTACGACATATAGATATTTTTCTAAAGAAATTGAGAACTAGGACAAAATATCTCTTTACCTTTAGTAAACAAAGGTGATAAGAAAGCATCTTGCATTTGTGGTCCATGGGATGAGGCTGTGTCTATCTCATGATGGGATGGGCCCGTGCTGCTGAGCCAGCTCTGACTCCGTTGGATACTTGAGACACCAGCATCCATCTCGAGGCTTATAAAAGGGTCAGCTGACTGAGACTTTAATAGCTGCTCTCCCATGGTAGCTTAAATCCAATAACAGAAAGAAGACAAATTTAAGATGCACTCAGTGCCATTCCAACTCAGTTCTTTTATCCTTCCCACCTGCCTAACCTATACTAGCAATTTAAAGCCAACTGCTGTCCCACATTGTATCATGTACCCAAAAACTAGGGATATGGAATCACAACACATATACTGATCATATATGGCCATCTAACACACTGTATGTCTTACTGCAACTAGGTAAATCTTCATTGTTATGTCACATGATTGTCTTGGTTCTTAAGGGATGATATGAAACTTTCAATCACAACAAAAAGTTTTCATTTAAATTTTCACACACACAAAAATAAATTTTCACAATTAGCAGTCTTCATAAAAGACTTCAATTAAAAAAATCCTCTTTTAATTTTTCTTATCCTTAAATATGCAGTTTCACTTTGACTTTTCCTGGTTTAGATGAGATGGGTTGAACTGTCAAAGGTAATTTTTACTATTTTCTTGGAATGAATTCTGGCAGGGAAATCACAGTTTAACTTAAAAGTCCCTGACTAATGAGGTATAAAGTTCATTCCCACAATAAGATAAGCATGGTAGTTTTAACTTCAGATAGTTCTCAACTTCTTTATAACATACAGTAACAATGGTTAAGTTTATAAAGCAGACTTTCAGGGTCAAAAGAGTAAGAGACCCAAGTTCTGCTTTATTAAATCCTTAGTCAAGCGGTGAGTATTCCAATTGCTATACAAAAGACTAACTTTATTTGGCTTGAACTTGGAATGAAAAGACTCCCTTGAACTTCAACTAACAACAAAATGTCTAAATATCTAGCAAAATACAATTCTCCTCGTAAAAGTGGCTATGAAAGCAGACTATATTACCTGTTCGGAATTTTCCGTTTTTGAAAGGAGAACAGATAGACGATGCTGGGATGATGGGGAGTGGCCAAAGGAAATCTTTGTGGAGTCTTTTCAGGGCGATCACGAAGTTGTCTACTCGGGCAGCACGGGTACGCTCCTTACATAGCCAGCTAATCAGCTCAAAGCCTAGCTGGGCTGCAAAGCAGCCAAGGTCCTTTAATCGGACGTCTTCTAAAAGACGCCGAGCATGTCTCCATAGCATCATGTCAATGTACATGTTCTCAGCACTGTCACTATCTTTGCTCCATCTGAAAGTAGAAACAGGGAAGCTACAGAAGCAGTACTGTCTGAAGGGAAAGAAAAAGCTCCAGGGCTTCTCCTCAATTGACATCATGACCTGCTGAACACTGAGGCATAGACTGATCTGTACAATGATCACATGAAATAGGAAAAAAAAAAAAAATGGGATAAAAGAAGCTGTACCAGGAGTAAGAAGGTGAATGTTTCATAGAAAGGAGCAAATAAATGCTGTAACTGAAGACTTATGAAAAGGACAGAGGTCACACAAAAGAAACGAAAAAGAGATGGAAAGTGAAATTAAATCTCAATATGAGTTCTGCAGACATCTGAAAATAAAGCTAATTTAAAAAATTAATGATATTAATGATAACTAAACTCAGTCTCTCATCTCTTGCTTGTCTGAGCTGATGCAGTTAATCTGGGATATATGGTCCTGGTCCCTTCCCTGAAAGTCAGTGCTGCTGACAATAAAGATCACACTCTATGCAGAAGAACTGCCTGGGTTCACATGTGACATCCATGAGTTCTGGGAGCATAACCAAGTTTACTTTTCTTCACCCATACACAGAGTTGTTGTAAGGATTAAAAGAGCTACGTATGTAAATGCTTGTAAGAGTACCTGGCACATGACTACTTGGTAAGTTATTAGCTTATATTTAAATTCAGGGTATGGCTGAGCAAATAATGTTTCCTGGCAATCATTTATAGCCAGCTTTCCCTGCTTTTTATTTGTATACAGTCCAGGATTATTATGTGTGTGTGTGTGTGTGTGTGTGTTAGAGGTAGGTAATAATAGCTAGTAGTAAGAGAAAGTAGCAAAATATCCCATTAAAAAATGTTCAAAGCTAGATCTGGTGGTACACGTTGGTCATTCCAGCACTCTGGGAAACTGAGACAAGAGCTGAGCCCAGCCTAGCTAAATTAGTGACTGAACAAATCTTTGTTTCAAAATTTTGGTGAGAAGACCCAGGGCTGCTGGATCCCGAAAAGACCCAGGAGCGCAGGCCTGGCATGTGAGTGAGATGACCCAGGACCTGTGAATCCTGAATAGACCAGGAGCGCAGGTCTGGCGTGTGAGTGAGGCCACCCAGGGCCACCAGATCCTGAATAGACTCAAAGCGTGGAACCCTTCAGCAGAACTGCCTGAAAAGAGGCTTGAGGCAAGACCCACCCAGCTGATTCAGGAGCAGAACATCTTGCCAGAGTGACACAAAGGGTTCAACTCCAATGGCTACAGCAGGAAGAAGTGGAGCACAGCAGCCAGACCCCAGTCAGACCCAAGCAACACCCACCTGGAGGAATCTGAACTTCGTAGATCCGGACCTGGTGCTAAGGTAATAACTCTAAGCTCTACACCAAAGGTCAGAAGACAGTGGTATACAAAATGACAAAGAGAAGGAACAAGTCTCAGGCCCCAAGTCCATCCAGTACAACTGCAGAAGACACTAGCATAGAGGAAACTGGAAATCACACGCCTGATATTTCTGAAATAATAGTGTTGGCAGTAAAGAAACAACTGCAGAAAGGTATAGAAGAAATCAGATCAGAAATAATTTCGGAACTAAAAAACTTAGTGATAACTATAATCAAAGAAGTACTAAGTGCTTCTAAAGAATACACTGATAAAAAAATAGAGCAGAATATAAAAATGATGGAACCCCTGAATAAGCAATATAGGAAAGAAATAGAATGTATGAAACAGGTTCAAAGTGATATACAGGAAATTAAAACCTCCATCACAAGCTGGCAGAACTGTTTGAGGGAAAGTGAAAACAGACTTTCTGATCTGAAAGACACCATTGCAGCTAGTGAAAAAGTAAGAAAAGATCTCTTTAAAACAACTAGGATGCAGGAAAAAATAATT